TTCACATTAAAAAAAAAAAAAAATTGAACTATCATTATCAAGAATTTAATATACATGGTTTTGTTTGTACTATTATGCATAAAGATTCTCCATATTAAACTAGAAGTATTAGTTTAATTTATTGAATTAGTATTGTAACTTTAATTTGTCCCAACATAGGCCACAAAAAGTATTGATTTTCTGCATGACCCACCAGCTGTCATGCTTCAAATAGCTCTCTGTTGATAATTTTAAGCTCTCCAACACACAAGTCTTGGAAATTTAACAAACAATACTTGGATAGATTTTAGTTCCTATGTACCAAAATATTAGAATAAGAATTAGGAAACGGGGTTTTCCTTTTCTTTTCTTTTTTAAAATTTTCTTGATTTTGTGCTTTAGTGTCATTACAGATCTATCCATAACGAGTCGCTCATGAGTTCTTTTGCTCGTTAAAGTTCGAATTCGATTCAACTCATTTAGCTTGAGCTCGTTTAAAGCTCGTTAAACATGATAAACATAATTCTTTACGTAATTTTTCTAAGTTTCACCATAATTGAGCTCGCTCATTATTGACTTGAACTCGAACTCGTTTATCAAATCATTAGGCTTAACAAGTCAAATCGAGCTCGAACCCTGAATCTCAGGCCTAAACTCGAATATCAGGATATCGAACTCGAGTCAAGTGTCAAATTTTTTATGATAGGGAAACAGAGGTGCAGTCTCACACATGTGAAACACACCATAAAAGAGTGAGTCTAGATGCACCATGGTGATGTTACATCCCAAAACTAATTTGTGATGAGAAGAGTAACCCACTAGACTTATAAACTAGACTCATTTACCCAATTAAAATCAATGTGAGACAAACTCATAAACGATATTCCAATATCGAGTCAGTTCGGCTTGTTCACATCTCTCATGGTACAACTCTATTAGGGGGTGTCTATATGTACACCCCCTCAAGTGTAAAAAAAGGGTGTACATATAGCACTTTTCTTTGTGTAATTTATTAAAAGGGGGTGTACATATAGCATTGCCCCTCTATTATACCAATGAATAAGATTGGTCTCGAAATATGAAATGTCAGACCCTTCTCTTTAATCTCATCCATACATTAATTAGCCTAAACCCATACCCCTTGTGGACAAAAATATATGATTTTATTCAATAAATTTTGATCCCTTACCCACGGTGGACAGTGCTCACCACTTTGTTTTATATGAAAAATGTATTCTGAAAATACATTTTTTAATTAAATTAATTGAAAAACGTATTCTCAGAATATATTTTTCATGTAAAATAAAATGGTGGGCCGTGGGCAGGTGAGCGGGACTATTTATTCCATATGAGTTTATATCTCATTAATATTCAACAGTAATTCTACGGAGCAATCGGATGGCTCCGTTATGGAACCATCCATAATTTTATATACTGACACATTTCTAATGTGCATTTATTGCAGGACACGTGTCAATACCTCATTTGTGAATAACAATGGATGGCTCCATAAGACGAGCCATCCGATGGCTCCATAGCAAAACCGTAATATTCAAATAGTCATAGCCAATTCAATCACGCCAAGTTCAAATTGGCCCCATCTTGGTTGCGAACCGGCCCATTCACACTGAAAAAGGCCTCACCACTATACCTTTTTTTTTTCCACACTGAAACCACACTATGGAATTCTATTCAGGCACGAAAATCATTTAGGATAATTTCATGTCAAACTGCAATGATTGGGGAACAAGGACTATCTTCAAACCCACCACCCACCCACACACACACACACACACACACACACACACACACACACTAATTGAGAACAATAATAGTACTTTCACCAATAGAGTGTACATTTTGTGACCTAAAAATATAATCCATTATACTTCAATTAAAGCATTCGATTTAAATTACATATATAATCCCTTATTTACTTATTTTATCACACTTATTTGTACATTTTGCCCCATCTCCTAAATATGATAAAATTAAATTAAAATATGTTCATTCCTTATTGCAATGAAGATTATTATTTATATAAGTTCAGACGATTGACTTAAATGCTCATAGGATATTCTATAATCTGAAAAAAAAACATTTTTGAAAATTAAAAAAAAAAAAAACATTATGATGTGGCTTCAGACAATGACTTGTTTCGGCCACAATTGTAATTTAATTTAATTCAATTTTTAGCTAGGATGAGTACTTATTGAGAACCTATTTTTGTGAACTGTAAACAAAACGGCACCTAAAAGCGTTATTTGGCTAGCTAGCCTTTGGACCTAAAAACGGTATCTTTTATTTAAAAAATTGTTGTCTTATGCAATTTTACTTTTCGCTTGTCAGGTTTCTCGACAAGGCTGCGATCCCGACGCCTGACGACCTGATCAACCCCGACGGCTCCCCCGGCGACCCCTGGCGCCTCTGCACGATGCAACAGGTCGAGGAAGTCAAGTGCCTCGTCCGAGTCCTCCCCATTTGGGCCGCTACCATCATCTACCAAGTCGGTGAGAAACAACCCTACGTCGTCTTCCAAGCCATGCAATCCGACCGCCGTCTGAGCCCCACCACCTCCTCCTTCCGCATCCCACCCGCAACCTACTCCGTCTTCTCCATGCTCACCCTAACCCTTTTCATCCCTCTCTACGACCGCATCCTCGTCCCTTCCCTCCGCCGCCTCACCGGCAAACCCGCCGGAATCACCGTCCTCCAACGCATGGGAATCGGAATCGGCATCACTGTAGTTCAATCTTTAACATCCGCGTTCGTCGAGGCCCGCCGGAGGTCTCTGGCGATCTCGAGTCCATTGCAGTTTTCAAATCGAGGGTCGATTTCGTCTGCATCGGCAATGTGGCTCGTGCCGCAGCTGTCGCTGGCAGGTCTGGCGGAGGCGTTCTGCGCGATCGGACAGGTCGAGTTTTACTACAAGCAGTTCCCGGAGAACATGAGGACCGTGGCCGGGTCGTTTTTCTTCTGCGGCTTGGCGGCGGCGGATTACTTGAAGGGTTTGTTGATCTCGGCCGTGCACCGGGCGACCGAGGGGTCGCCGGGCGGGAATTGGTTGCCGGAGGATCTGAATAAAGGGAGGTTGGATTATTTTTACTATTTGGTGACGGGTTTGTGCGCGTTGAATTTGGTGTATTTTCTTGTGTGTGCTAAGTGGTATGTGTATAAGGGGACGAGTGTTGGTGTGGTGGGGGTGGAGGGTAAGGAGAATATTGGTAATAAGAGTGTGGTTTAGGGGATAAAGAACATATAATGTACTCGATAACTATAAAAGAAGAGTGATTCTCATTATATGCACTTTGGTGTCTTTAATTCTTTATTATGCAGCGTTGTGCTTTGGTTCTTAAATTAGGTAGGATTTTCAAGCAAAACGCAGTATCTAAAATATTACTCCCTCCTATTCATTATAAATGTCGTTTTGACTTTTGTGATTCATCCATTTTATTATGTATCTGGACATTAATATGTATAGATACATAATAAAATGGATGAATCACAAAAATCAAAACGACATTTATAATGAACAGGAGGTAGTATAACTATTTGAGTTCAATTGACATATGTTAAACATTATCTTTTATTTTTCAATGGAAACTACCTGTTTTTGATATTTTGGTGCAGTTGGATCGTAAGAGCTCAACTTTGCACACATATAACCAACATGGCGGCGTTGGGTTTTGTTGAGTTGAACATGGTCATGTCAGTATGGACGATGCGTAGTTAATTATCTTTGAATGTGGGCCTGTTAACACAAGGCCCAATAGCAATATTAAGAGACCAAACCAGCCATAATTAAGAGAGGGCAGATTACACGCATGAACATAACAAAACATCAGCGGAAAGAAAATGTGAGCAGAATCGATGTTTTTGGTCCACGAGTTATCTAACCATAATGTATATACTGATAATATAAATTGTGAGCATTGCAAAATCTAACATTTGCTTAAGCAATGCACACCAAAGAGCAGAGCTTCAAGAATAGAACAACAAACAAATCAGGCACACTATTGAACGGCCATTATAGATTGTATTAACATCGATTTCTAACTTAAGTAACATTACATAATACCAAATTTCGATAAGACGTTACAAGAACGAGAAGGGACTCGAAAGCTGAAGAAACACGACTCACATGAATTGAAGTACAATTTTCTTGCAGGTGCAAGTTTTTCCATAGCTAATCCAAAGCTTGCCGCATCTAGTATATACTCGTATATAGCTAAAACGAGAGACAAATAGCTCGACTCCAAAAGATTAGGTGCAATCACAAAGCCATCATCAGACGTAGGTTTTTTTTGTTCTCTCTCTCCTCATACGGTGTAAGCTTGCTGAATTGTGTCTATATCGAGACCCTTCAGCCTCACAACAGACTCGACATGACCTTTCAGCGTGTGCAATTCCCTTAGCCTGTGACGGTTAGTTAACATGTTTATTTGTCAAAATAAATAAAAAATAAACCTTGTTGACGAAAGGGAATTCGAAAAACAGAAAACAGACCATTTTATGCTTATTGAGTAAAGAAAAACCCTTCAAAAATTAAAATTACACCCTTGTGCATGTTATGTTCCGATTCCAAAAATTGAACTCTAAAGGCGGTAATTTGTTAAAAGAAAACGTGGTAGTATTTGTAAGATTTGAGGGGAGATTTTTGTAATTTTAGAAGGTAACAAATTTTCTAGTAATAAACCAAAACCTTGGGGATAGTTTCTGCAAAATCGATTTTACCTTGCAATCTCAGCCCTTCTTTTAGCTTCCTCAGCCAACTGATTAAGTTCCGAGAAATTGTTTGTTTCGTTAAACAGTTTGGTGTCGGGCACTTGCAACCCGTGAAGGGTCCTCTGTGCATGAGCCCATTTCAGCTCACGCTGCTCTTTCCCGAAATCCTTTTGCCTGGTGAATGCAATCTGTCCAAGAACACAAAAAAAATATAAAATAAAAAATAAAAAAATCCAAAGAAAAAGATCCATTAACCTAAAATGAAACTAACAAATTACATAAAAGTAGTTTACGAACGATATCATGAATTAACAATTCAAATTTTTACCCTTTGTTCAAGAACAAGATCCCAAGCCTTTCCACTGAGCGTGTAGCGGATCAAGAATTTGATTATATCGAGTGGGATGTAAGTAATGATATTATAGAGCCAAATCACGCCTGCCCAGCCCCAACCGATCCCTTCAATTGCTGCAAAACTCCAATTCGCATATACCGCGATAAGCGTAGCTACCTGTTTCCCGAAAAGTAATTCGAATCAAAATGTTTACTCTCGAAAAATGGATAAAAAAATATGGTTTAAAATTATGATTCGGCAAGTAAAACAAAACAAGGCTTATTATTACTAACCAGTTGCGCAATCACAAATGCTGCCACAAGAAGCAAACCGGGACGTTCGACATATGACCAACTTCGGGACCTTGTGACGAATATAAGAGCCTGGCTGATAGTGCTGACTTGAAGATATATGGCTGAAGCAAGCTTCCGAAAGTCATCGTGTGCCGTTTTCTCAAGTGTCGACACACCAAATACATGCTGATAATTTATGAAAAAATAAA